TGTGTGTGTGTGTGTGTGTGTGTGTGTGTGTGTGCGTCTGTGTGTGTGTATCGCTGTGCGCGTGTGCGCGCCTCTACGATCTTGTGTTCGTCTGAATTGTCGAACAACTGCTCGGTGTCGCCCGCTTAGCGCCGTCCTTCTCCTATCGATGACGACGTACTACGGTAGGTGTTCGATCGTGCAGTCACGAACAAGCAAGGCCGACTGGGCGTTGGCTGGCTGTCGTACAATACGTAGCCCATCCCAACCACCTGCTTCGCCAGCACAGAACGACAACTTGCCCCCTCCCCTCTCTCCGCAATGCTTCCCACGTCCAGTTTGTTTTCCACTGCCAATTTTCTGCTCATCACCCCTCTCTCCTCTCCTACTTCTTCTCTGTTGTACGTAAACTCTACCGGATACCCACTCACCCCTCACTTTTTGTCACTTGTCTATCGCGCCACGGCACGGCACGGCACGGCACGGCCCCGCCGGACTCAGCCTCTCTTCATGTTCGGTACTTCCCTCTCTCCCTTACTGTCCCCTCTTCTTTACCCTTTTATATCCTTCTCTTCGTCTTCCGATTCCTCTGGTCTCACGATATGCACTGCCCTTGTCTGCTTTGCGTTGCGTTGCGTTGCGTTCCGATTGCCAGTTGTTCCTCCTCTTCTCCCCCCCTTATATCCCCTCTCTCTCTCTCTCTCTCTCTCTCTCTCTCTCTGAGACTCACGTTCTAGCGACCTCACTCTCACTTTGCTCCTATATCTTTCCTGACATCATTCTGACATCCCCCCTCTCCTACTCTCCCACTCTTCCCCCTCCGCCTCCTCCTCCTCCTCAGACACTCCCTCTCCCCCTCCCTCTGTCTACCGTTAGATTTGCCGCGTTGTTCGCATCCCCCACTTCGCCTGGCGTCCCCCGTTCCCGCTTTTTGCATCGTCATACGACTCCCCGCCTTTCTTTTGTCACCATTGCCATTGTCACTTGCATCCTGACGTAAGCCCTACCGCGTTTTACGCGTTGTTCCCATGCCACCATCACCCCCGTTTCCTCCTCTATTTTCCACTTTTTTCTCAACGTCGGCGATCAGACCGATCATCGTTATCATTTAATTTGGAGTTAGCGTCTAATCACCTAACGGCATGAGTATATACATACGTATGTGTGAACGTCATCTATGAATATGCCTCTGACATGACGGGATTCGCTCAACCGATCTGTGCTGCAGAAAAGGAACAGTCACACGTGTGGATCTTTCGGCCACTTGGCCTGGGGAACATCGCGACTCTATCTTTGATCAGATAGAGATTCATTTCTGCGTCATGTCATGATGACGGGCTTCGGTCCACTACTCTCCGGATGTGAGCAAAATGAGGATGAATCTTCCCCTGGACCTGGAAATATACACAGCCAAATTGTTTTGTCGTTTGTGCTTATGCAGAGTCGTGGGGCGAGGCCGAACGAAAAACGCCGCGGAAGGGAATCGTTATATAAAAGAAATCTAAATCATTGCATCTCTATCGAAAAACAGGGCCAATCTGAGTAGCCCTTTTTCCAGGGGCAAAACCGCAAGTTCTTGGTTACATCCGGGGGCAAGGTCCCACTTGCGCAAATTAGGAGATTTGGGCCGTTGATCTTTGCTATCTACGGTCAGGATCTCTTAATTCGTTCAGGTGGGACCTAGCCCCGGGTTGTTTGTTGAGGATTCCCGGCCTCAGTTTTTTTAATTTGCTGAATAAAGGATTCTCTTTCTTTTTCCCGGAAGAAAAAAAAAAAAGGGCCAAAGAACCCAAAAAAAAAAACTAGTTGCCCAACTCGCCATGCGGCAAGAGTTTAAATGCCTCTGAACGTGGCGTCTGTCCAGATTCATTGAAAAATCCTCGCGGAGCAACTACTGTATTCTTTTTTTTTTATTTATGCTATGGGCATGCTAATCTTCTCCATATCCTTACAATTTTATTTTATTTTATTTTTTCACAGAAAAGCTATATTATTCCCCACACTACCTTCCTACCACTACTCCTAATTGTAGGCATACGGGGACGGATGTCCCGAAGGACGCAACTACCGTATTCTAGTTTTTGAAATTTCGAATAGTACGTGCATGTGTTGTATTCCTAATCAGGGATGTTCGACTAGAACGCGCACACGTTGTACTGGAATAGACAGCAACTTCTGCATTGTTTTCGTTTACAACGCATATGCGTTATGCTCGGGGGAAGATGGTAGCCCCAAAGACTCAACCGGTTCCCACGTTGGAGGGCCTACGCCATCCACCAAAGCGTGTGTTTGTCCAGGTGCATTCGAAATGTCGGCGGATGGCCAGTGGTGCAACTAGTAGGCCCTTATGCACAGCCTTGAGCACTGGGAATTCTAATCAAATACGGAATTTTCAGGAAAAGAAAAAGAAGAAAGGAGGTAGGAGTAGTGGTAGGTAGGTAGTGTGAGGAAAATTTGAGAGAAGTGTATCCTTTAAAATAAAATAAAATAAAAAAAAGGAATGTGAATGGCCAGTGGCTCAGTGGTTAGAGCACTGGTTGGAAATGCGCATTGTGGTATTAGGGCACAGGTTTAAATCTTTAAGTCTGCACTCTTGCGCATAGGCCACCAATGGGGTTCACCAACGGGGGTCAACCACCGTACTGCCATTCACACCCGCCCCTTGGGCTGACACATAGTACTATTTACAGACACTGCAGGGGGTAGTCCATGGTTGTAGTATGCTGGTAGCAGGCCCTGTGGGGAGGGCTGTTTGAGTGGTTGGCTGTGGTCCGACGAGTGTGTGTGTGTTACAAGCACTGCCTGCGCTGTGACACCCAACCTCACGCCCAGCACGACTTCCTGATCGGAGTGGGATGTGGGCCTGGAAGTGCGAAAAAGGGGTGTGCCAAGGATTTTTGGGAAAGTGGGGGAGTCTTAAGGATATGAATGCAATTGGGCGAAAAAGGGGCGCGTGCGCAGGGGACTCAAGGCCCGATGGGGCCGGGGCACTGTGGGCGACGGTTTACGGGGAAATCCCTCCGCGGTGGAGGCGGTCCCGAAAAGTTAGGCCGTCGGGGGCCGCCACATGGCGCCGGTCGCCGCGTACCTGGGTTGGGCCTTCGGAATTCCGGAGTTCTCTGTTCGCCGCTACGTCAACAGTTCACGCAAAACGTATCGGGCCAATAGGGGGTTATGGCCGGCCACGGAACAACACTGAGTTGATGATACGGGAGAAGAAGGCGGAAAGGAGGGAAACTGGTGGTGATGACAACAAATCCCGGGTGGGTGAAGTAGTAGGTGTGGTCGGGAGAAGGGAAATCGGAGCACCGAGGGTTGCTAGAGGTGGCGCAGTGAAATTCCCGCGGACATAACCGATTCTCAGGTATCGCGTCCTTATGAGCTCGTTTATCATAGGGGTGAAATAGTTCGGGTCGTAGGATGAGTCTGAGCTCCAAGATCGTGTCATGGTGTCATCGTCTATGGGTCAGCTCGGTCAGGATATCGTCACCGCGCGCAAGCACGTGCCGGGCAGGCAGCCTCAAGAGCGCCTTAGCGTGCTTGTACGGGATGACGGCTCCGTCGCGAACCTTTTTGGGTGAGCGAAT